AATTTTGTGAATTCCGTAAATAATACTGTAATGATAATTCCATGTTCATTTCCTCAAGGAAAGTCTTCAAAGGGTAGGTACCAAGTCAAAGGATAGGCACTCCGGATACCTTATTCCCCCTTTTCCAGCACTGATATCGTCAATCAAGAAATTTGCATTTCTTAGAAGAAAAAAGTGGAATCTTATTTTCTTTTCTCTTTTTTTTTGCAGCATGACCAGGTCAGAGGTTTTTGTTTGTTTGTTTGTTTGTTTGTTTGTTTGTTTTGTGGTACGTGAGCCTCTCACTGTTGTGGCCTCTCCCGTTGCGGAGCACAGGCTCCGGATGCGCAGGCTCAGCGGCCATGGCTCACGGGCCCAGCCGCTCTGCGGCATGTAAGATCTTCCCGGACCGGGACACGAACCTGTGTCCCCTGCATCGGCAGGCGGACTCTTAACCACTGCGCCACCAGGGAAGCCCCCAGGTCAGAGTTTTTTAACAGAAGACCCAGGGTGGCTGCCCAGAGCAATCATTCATTTGATTGGCTGTGTGGAGACACTGTTTATACACTCTTTCTTTGAACAAATAGCAAGGTCCCGCTGTGTGCCAGGTTCTTCTAAGCACTCAAGAATTCAGCAGTGCACAAAAGACTAGACTTGCCTTGAAGTTTATTTTCTGTTGGGATGAGAAAGACAATTAGGGTAAATATGAGGTGGATCAGAGAGTCATACGTGGGATGGAAATGAGCAGGGAATGCGAGAGAGAATCTGGAGTTCGGCTCGGGAATGTGATAAAAACCCTGAGAGAAGGGCGAGAACAGCAAGTGCAAAGGCCCTGAGGCAGGAAGGAGGTTGCTGTGAATGAAGCACAGCAGGAGGCTCTCACAGAGTGAGGTCAGAGGGAGTCATGGGCAAGCCATTGTGACACCCTGCCTGTTACTCTGAGCAACATGGGAAGCCGTTTGAGAGCTGTGCTTGACCTGATTTGCACTTTAAAGTGATCGTCCTCAGGGGAAAATGACTATGGCTTTTTGATTATGGCTCTGCCCTCCCTTACCCCTCCATCCAGAGAACAAGTGCTGACACGTGTGTGTGTACTTTAAAAGACTGAGGGTGGAAACAGGGAGGCTGATGCAATAATCCGTGCAAGATGATGGCAGCCTGGACCAGGGGGTGAGGGTAGAGCGGTCAGCTTCCAGGTATGCACCGGGAGCAGAGCCACTGGGATTTGCGGGTGGTTTGGGTATGAGTGATAGAAAGATCTGTCACAGAGGACTCTATTCTGAGCCACTGGGACAATTTCCATTTGCTGAGATGGGGACCTCAGAAGGACTGTGTTCTGAAGCTGATGACTCAAGAAAGAAGAAAGAATTTTCCTTTATGAAACTCGGATGTTCTGTTTTGCTTGGCAGGGCCTCTCTCCCCCAAGGTTATCTTGGAGTCAGCCAGCCGTGTCCACTGATTTATTTGTATATTCTGGGCCTAGCTCTTCTGATTCTACTATTCTGATTATATCAAGTTTATGGTGTTTTTATATCTGGTGGCTCAAAAACATCATTGCTAGCCGTTTCCAAAAATTTCATGGCGAATCTCACATATTTCTTTTTCTTTACCAACTTTAATATCTATGTCTAATGAGTCCCCCAAATATCCACTGAGGTATTTTTTCTTTTTTTTAATTTTTAAATTTTATTTAATTTTTTATACAGCAGGTTCTCATTAGTTATCCATTTTATACATATTAGTGTGTATATGTCAGTCCCAAGCCATTGAGATTTTTACTAGAGTTTTATTGATTTATAATTTGAGAAAGGTTTTACCTTTGGAAGTAGAGTCTTCACATCCAGGAACATAGTATGTGTCTCTTTTCATTCCAGTCTTGCTTTAATAACCTTCAGTAGAACGCGTATGGCTTTCTTTGTATAGGTCTTATGCCTTTCCGATGTAATCTATCCCAAGGTATTCAGTAGCTTTGTCATTAATGTGAATGTGGATTATTTTTCACAATGCACTTTCTAACTAGTTATATTTACTGTTTAAAAGAAAAGTATTGTGTTTTTTGGGTATTTTTTACTTGAACCCAGCCACTTTCCTCATTGTCCTGAGATTTTCTAGTTGTAAGATCATATCCCGAATAATGATAAATCTTGTTTTTCAACATTTATACTGTTTATTTCGTCTTGTCTTATTTCAAAAGCTGGAACCTCTAAAAATGTGACTAGCAGAATTGACAGTGAGCACGCCTGTCTTGTTTCTGACTTTAATGGAAATGCTTTCACCCATGTAACATATTTGCAGATAGCATCTGTTAATATTCTCGTGTTTAGGATGTTCATTTTATTTCCATGTAGTTTATATGTTCTGTTCTATTCTATACCATTTAGTCAGGAACGGCTGCCGAATTTTGTTAAATGCCTTTTTGCCATCTGTTGATATGTGACCTTTGCTAATATAAGGAATTGAAGTTTTGCTAATTCTTGAAGGATTCTTATTCTTGGAATAAACCCTAATTGATCTTGGTAGGCCCTTTTAAAATATGGCACTAAATATTCCTAAAGTTTTCTTTTTTTTGATGTATTTGCATTTATATCCGTAAACTGCCTTGGCTTATATTTTTCTTTCCAAGTGTTTTCTTTAGCACATTTTTGTATTAGGGTAACATAAAATGAACTGGAATACTATATATATCTGGAATAATTTGACTAATGTAAAAATTATCTAGGCTTGACACCTTTTTACTGATAGATGGTAGATCTTTTAACAGCTTTTTAAATTTCTTTGGTGGTTACCTGTCTATTCAGGCTTTCCTATTACTTAAGTTAAATTTAGTAATCTATATTTTGCTCGAAAATGATTCAATTTCCTCCAGAGTTTAAAGCATATTAACTTAAGTTTGCCCATCCTACTTTGTTAGAATTCTTCCATATCTGTTGTTAAAATAGTAGTGTTTCCGATTCGTTTTGTGTGTTAACGCTTTCAAAGAGCAGTCGCACACACCGTCTCAGGGGAGCCTTGATTCCTCCTGGAAAGATAAGGAAACTGAGGGAAGCATGGTTAAGTGGCTTGCGGGGTCACACAGCCGGTTAGAGGCAGAGTCTGGCCTCAGACCGGGGACCCGCCTTCCCCTGCGGGACACGACCACCTGTGCTTCTTCCAGTTATGTTCACCTGGGGTGCGTCCTCCTCAGGCCCCAAAGGCGTGACAAGTGTAAGGATGGACTTCGAGCCTGAGTCTCCATCCAGAAAAGGTCCCTGTACTCTCTGAGCACCAACACCCCTTGCAGTGTTTAGGGAAAGGCCCTCCTACCTAGATACAGGGGGTGCATTTTCAACTGTTTGAACAAGTGTAAGATGCATCCGTAATACCACTTTTTTTCTAGAATGAAAAAAGAAAGGCGTTCATTCGCTTTACAGATGGCTCCAAATGGACATATTTAAAAGCCTCTGTTAACCTTTGGGTGGTCAAGGATGTGGTGGGCTGTGGTCTGAGTGTGTGTATGTTCACGTTTTGGGGGATATTCCCAGCAGCATCCTGTGTTTAATACAATTTCACAAAGTAACATCATACTCTATCCTGAAGGATAGTAGCATATAATACCTATATTGCTATGGAATTGCTGAACATGAATCATGACCAAGTTTTAATACAGGCTGGGGGGATTAGATTGATCATCTGGTAAAGTGCTGGTGCTTTGAAAGAACTGTTATCCTAGCTAACAGTCATGAAGGGTTTTGATGTGGAGAAACCCAGTGTATCTGAGAATCCACTCTGGTACGGGGGCAGCATGCATGCCTCCGTTACCCCTGGGTTCTCACGGAGCCTGGTCTCCCCTCCCACCCCGGGTCTCCGTCCCGTCCTCATACTCCAGGAGGCGACCTGCTGATGCAGTGACCACAGGTGTAGCTTCGGGGCCTTCTCCTAATTGCAGCAAGTAGAGGCACATCAGGGCTGCAGCCCTGGCCCTGTTCACTGCCCTCGCAGGAGGCTGGGGACTCAGCCGCCCCCGACCCCGGCTTCGCCCTTCCAGCTGCAGTCTCCTTAGTGCCCAGGATAGACAGAGGCCCTTGTCATTTCCAGGGCTGCCGATGGTCACTAAGGAACTTCCCTGCTCTTCCTGTGGTCTGTCCGCCACACGGATCGTCAGCCGATGCACACTGAGATGCTGAACGTGGGCTGAAGGCCCCTCCAGCTCACCTGGCCACGAGCCCTTTGCCGGCACGTCAGCCTAAACATCCAGTAAAGAGATCCTTCCTCTGCTCCTCTTTCCTCGTGGCTCACTCCTCCCCCCAGAAAGCTGTCCTGGGGTGCAGACAGGGCCTGTCCCTCCTCGGGGATTCTCAGCACCCTGGACAGCGCCCGGCAGGCCCTGAAAGCACCTCCCAACACCCGGCTGTCCTTTCCCTATGAGGGGTGCTGAACGGGCTCCAGGCCAGCGGGCGGCTCTGTTGTCCCCACAGCCTCCAACTGCAGGAACCTGCGCTCATCAGGATCAAATCCCTGCGGGTCTCAAAGTTTCAGACCCAAAGGGACACTTAGCCGACAGCGGCGCTGCAGCACAAGGCGGTAGCAGCCATCCAAAAGCCTCCTTTCACATTCTAACTGCTGGCCGTGTAAATTAATCAAACTGAGGTTCGGAAAATGAAAGCAGTCTGGATCCACATCCCTGTTGATTCCCTTACCGCTCAGAGCAGACACTCACCGTGTGCTTGTTACACAAACCAGAGGACAGGCTGAACGAGTGAAGGGATGAGGGGAAGAGGTGCGCCCTCCCCAGGCCTGGCCCGGCCCCTTGCCCTGCCCCACGGGGGCCGACATGCTCTGCTTCTCCTCCGTGGCAGGTCAGCCCAGGCTTCCTCTTCAGCCGAATCTGCCCCTGCAGTCGGGCCTCTGGGTCACACTGTCTCCTGCCTCTTCATCTTCCTCACCAAGCTGGACCTCCCGGGACCTGCCCTGGCTGAGGCACGTGGAGCCAAGGTGATTCTTTATTTATTAAATGGATCAATTTTCCATTCTGTTTTGCCCAGGCTGCTGCTGAGTGGGCTGAGAAGATGCCCAAAGGCCCGCCGCCCATATCTCCCAAGGAAATGGCAAACCAAGAGGTCCTGGCCCGGCTCCACAAAGCTGTGACCTTCCACTACAACACGATCGCCCAGGAGTTTGAGAACTTCGACACCATGCAGACCAATACCGCCTCCAGGGACGAGTTCCGGTCCATTTGTACTCGCCACGTCCAAGTTCTGACGGATGAGCAAGTAAGAAACGCATTTCGTTTCGCCTCCTAAGCAATGCGTAAAGAGTTTAAGACTGTTCTCTAGTTTTTTTAAATACTTGAACGTTTTTTGGGGGCGGGGGATGGGTTGTTGTTATTTAGTTTTAAATCTTACTGGAGACTCACGGAGCTTTCTGTTTATGTAACAGGTATGAATCGCACCATTTCAATCAGGGTGCAAATAATATCACTTTTATTTTTAAAATCAAATTAAACTCGGCTCCAGCTACCACTGTTCTTCTTCCTCCTTCCCCAGATCATTCCTGGGCTTAAGTGATCCTAAGAGGGGGCCAGTTTCTCCCCACATCTGAGCTGGGAGTGCGGGGCTAAGGGCGGATGTAGAGCTGGTAGGCTGCTCTGATGCTCCCACCACCTTGCGGCTCCCGGCCTCTCCCTGGTTCTGCTGGCGGCGTTTCTGGATGCTCTGGAGCTACCCCCCCCCAAGCATGCTGGTGACACGCCCACCCCCAGTGGGCCTCTCCACTGTCCACAGGCTGGACACAGGCCACCCTTTCTGAGGGCCTCTTGCCCATCACAGATCCCTCACAAGAGTTTCTCTGTGCTCTCTTCCCCAAGGACTGAGCTGGGCTCTTTTTAGCTCAAAGATCTAGCAACCTGCTGCCCTGGCCTCTTTGGCCCTTCGTGGCTTTCCTAGGGCGAGAGCACCTCCCAGCAGGACGGCGTCCCAGGGGCCTGCCTTGGTCACTGGCCTCAGCCGATAATCTCACTGAACGTCCGCACTGGGGAGCGGAGCCCTGGCTGCTTGGTCCTCACTGTGTCCCCAGCACTGAAACGGAGCCTGGCACAGAGCAGGTGCTCAGCGTGTCCCAGTGAGTGGACAGTGTCCACGTTCCCACCCCCATCCCAGCAGTCCAGGGGCTGAACAGCCGATAACAGAGCACCACTGATCCAGTCCCAGAAGCAGATTTCCCTTCTTCCCAGAAAATGCACTGCTACCATCCCTCTTCAGTTCTCAGGTGAATTGATGCCCCATCCATTCCCAGAGAATAATTCAGATGAGAAAGGAACTCCAAAATACTCACAAAAGCAACCCCGCCTCCCCTCTTCCTCCTGGCTCTGCTCAGGCCCAGCCCAGGGGGCTTTCTACAGCTCCCCGTGTGGAAATGTCATTCTTTCCCCTCCAAAGTTGGGTCACTCCAAACTCAAGTCTCACACTGTCAGAGTTTTAGGGTAAGGACTGGAAGTATTCACGGGGAGGGGTGATCATCACGTCCACCCTCCATCCCTACTTAGGCCTCTGAACTTACTGCCCTAAAGAATGAATTTGTTAAAGATATTAGTAATATGAACATCAGATTTCACTTTCCTAAAATATCACCTTTTTTAGGCATTATGATCATTTCTGCCAAGCAAAAACAATGCCCTATTTCCAAACAATTCTGTCCCTCAGAGCCTCCAAGCCAAGTGAGCTCTCTATTTGCAAATATCAATACTTCTCTCCATCACTACAGATGGATAGAAGCCTTTAAAATTAGTACAGTTGCATTTATTATTCTATGGGGCCGACTAATAAAGGTTGGTAATGAAGATTTTTAGTAATAAAGATTTTAGTAATAAAGATTTTTCATTCCATCTAAATGAGCAAAATTTTACTCTAATTATAGGTATAAATTAATGACATGCCGACATATCCGGCATTCATAACAGAGAATTTGATTCTAATTGCCCACTAAGAAAGCTTCACCATTCCCATCACGGACAGCACCCCCCACCCCCCACCCCCTGCAAAAAAATCAAGCGCTTACTTTTGAATGCTGCTTTCTAAAAATACACGGACACATCTCAAAGACAGTCTGCACCATTGAGAACATCAAAGTCTGGCATGAGTACTGTGGTTTAAGTTGGGTGATGATTAACAGAAATTGTGCTATATTTGGGAAGGATGCTTCTAGATACAGGCTAGTAAACAGAAAGCAAAAGCCCCAGAGATCCACATGCTTTCTTCTTGCATGAGTTGCTTAGCCAGCGACCTTCTTGGTTGGATGGCCCAGTGTCTGGCACAGTAAGACACAGAAGTAATTTGCACTCTGGACATGTCTAGACCCCTCATGCCATCATGGGGAAGAGTTCACCCGAGATACTGGGACAGTTCCGACCACGTTAAACAGTTTTCAGGTACAGATTCCATGACTTCGTTTATCTACATTATAAAGACTTATCTCTAAAAAATCCAATCATCGTGAATCTGAGGGGCCAGCTTTCTTGACTTACAGAGCTCCGTAAGTAGGGAAGTGCCACATCTTTAGAAACCTTTTGGCACAATTAACCTTTCAGAAAAGGAGAGCGACTTTCAGAGCAGATGCAGTCAGACACTGACAGGTCTTCATGGCTCTGCATAAAGCGTGTTACAAAAGCCTGTGGAACTGGCTCCGCCTGGATCTGGCTTAAGATAGAGATCCCATGGGGAGGGCCTGTCCTGGTGAGGCGATTTAGGTCAGTCCATAGCGACCGCATGAGGACTTTGAATGTGCAGCTATATTAGGGGAAGGAACCAGCAAACATTTCTGAGCATTCCAGATGTGATATTTCTAAAACAGACAGCTTCAGGAAGAGAGAAAAATGCAGGCAGACTTGGGTTTCGACCCTGCTTCTGCACTCGTCCAGCTTTGTGACCTTGGAGAATTATTCAACCTCTCTGAGCTTCAATGTCCTTCCCTCTGAAATGGGACAGTGCTCCCCAGGCAGATCCAGGTGCCCTCCGCTCTGCCCAGGCTGCAGTTCTGCCTTCCCCATCTTTGCCCGTGAAGGCCCTGCCTGCCCCTTCCCCCGCCCTCTTGTATCTGGCCACACCGACTCCCTCTTCCAGACTCACTTCGAGCCAAGTGAAGCCTTTTCTGACCACACCTTTACCTGCTGGAGCTGGCCACGCCCCGCTTTGCCCTCCCCGCTCCCCCACCTTGAGCTCTCCATCATCTGGCTGAGCCCTTGGGACACCCTTGCATGTTCTTGGGCACAGAGCTTCCGGTCTTGGCTGCACAGTGAGTGCCCAAAGACAGCATGCATCCACTCCTTCACTTATTGGGGGCCCTCTGAGCTCAGAGTGGTGATGTTAGGTCCGAGGGAACCAAGGCGGGCCTGCTCCCTGCCTCTGTTGAGTCTGCATCCTGGGAGGGTAGAAAGAGGTTAAACACCTGTGGTACATTATTTCTGTAACTCCACACCGCCCTCTGCAGCAAAGGGACATGCAGCGTGCTGGGAGAGCAGAGCTGGGGGCTGACCTGGACCGAGGGGTCAGGGCTGTTTCCCTGAGGACACAATGCTGGAATGTGGGCGTTGCCTCTGAGAGGAGACCGGAGAGAGCAATGCAGGCAGAGGCAGCATCCTCGAAGTAGGCGCAGCGGGCACGCTGCTTAGATGGTGATGCTGCCAGCCAGCCAGTGGACACCAGAGACACACCCTGCCCGTGGGGTCTGTGTTCCCTGAGGGGCTGGCAGACAGTGAACAAAATATGTGTATGTTGGATGGTGACAAATGCTCTAGAGGCAAAAAAAAAAAAAAAAAAAAAAGCAGGGAAGAGGGTAGTGCTAGGGAATTGGGAGGGTGTATTGTGAGTAGGGCGGTCAGGGGAGGCCCCTGAGAAGGTAACATCTGATTAAAGACCTGGGTCAGGTGGATGGCTGGGAACAGCGGAGGTTGGGTCATGAATGAGTTTCAGAGTTGGAAGCAGCAGAATTTGCTAATGGATGTGGGTGGAAGAGTGAGAAGGGGAGTAGAGGATGGGGAAGCCAAAGGAGCCGTGGATGGGGTGCTGTGGGGGGCAGGGGGGAGGGGAGGGCGGGCGTGGGGCACCTCACTGGTCCATTGTCCACAGTCACATCTTCTGTCCTGCTCTCCTTCCTGTTCACTTTCTTTTTTGCTCAAGTACATCTTTACTTGCTCTTTCAGGGGAGAGGAAGCCCGAGAGCTTCCCTATTTCACCCTCGTCCTCAAAAGATAGTTTGTCTGGGGATAGAATTCTAGGTCCAAGTTTTCTCTCCCTGACCCTTTCAAGCGGTTTCTCAATTGCCTTCCAGCATCTCTCGGTGTTGATGCGACATCTGCTAATTATCACATGCTTTCTGCAGGGCCCAGATCCCAGTGGGAAGAAAGGCAGGGGCTGGGCTGCTCATGCCACTTCCTTTTTGCCAGAACGCTGCTCTGAGACAAGGGGTGAGGTAGGAGTGAGTGAGGAGAGAGGAGCCAGCCGGGCTGTTCGGATGAGTCCCAAATGCTCCACACGCAGCTCGCCCAGGTGGGTCTCCTCGGCGTGGTTGCCACCGCCGGGTGGTCCTACAGTTGTCTTGGCCTGGTCCTAGGGACTGGACTCCTCCTGCCTTGGCCTCTAGGCTTTTGTCCTCAGTGACTGTGGACACTAGGAGCACAGGCCAGTTCCAGTTTCTACGTCAGGTAGTGGGTGATGGCTTGGTTCTAACTGCCCATCTCACATGGGGGCCTCTTGTCCCTGTTCCTGAGAGAGTACCGCCCCCCACCTGCATCATACCATGCCTCGAATGCCATGGGCTTCTTTTCCATTTCTGTTTAATCCAATTTCCCTGTTGTGTTTGAATAAGGACAATGCATTTTATTTATTTATTTTTTACATCTTTATTGGAGTATAATTGCTTTACAATGGTGTGTTAGTTTCTGCTGTATAACAAAGTGAATCGGCTATACATATATCCCCGTATCTCCTCCCTCTTCTTTCTCCCTCCCACCCTCCCTATCCCACCCCTCTAGGTGGTCACAAAGCACCGAGCTGATCTCCCTGTGCTATGCGGCTGCTTCCCACTAGCTAGCTATTTTACATTTGGTAATGTATATAAGTCCATGCCACTCTCTCACTTCGTCCCAGCTTACCCTTCCCCCTCTCTGTGTCCTCAAGTCCATTCTCTACGTCTATGTCTTTATTCCTTTCCTGCCCCTAGGCTCCTGAGAACCTTTTTTTTTTTTTTTTTTAGATTCCATATATATGTGTTAGTATACGGTATTTGTTTTTCTCTTTCTGACTTACTTCGCTCTGTATGACAGACTCTAGATCCATCCACCTCACTACAAATAACTCAATTTCGTTTCTTTTTATGGCGGAATAATATTCCATTGTATATATGTGCCACATCTTCTTTATCCATTCATCTGTCGATGGACGCTTAGGTTGCTTCCGTGTCCTGGCTACTGTAAATAGAGCTGCAATGAACACTGTGGTCCGTGACTCTTTTTGAATTATGGTTTTCTCAGGGTATATGCCCAGTAGTGGGATTGCTGGATCATATGGTAGCTCTATTTTTAGTTTTTTAAGGCACCTCCAAACTGTTCTCCATAGTGGCTGTATCAATTTACATTCCCACCAACAGTGCAAGAGGTTCCCTTTTCTCCACACCCTCTCCAGCATTTATTGTTTGTAGACTTTTTTGATGATGGCATTTCTGACTGGTGTGAGGTGGTACCTCACTGTAGTTTTGTTCTACATTTCTCTAATGATTAGTGATGTTGAGCATTCTTTCATGTGTTTGTTGGCAATCTGTATATCTTCTTTAGAGGGACAATGCATTTTAAAAAAATAGTTTGCTCCTCTCTGCTGAAACTCCCCATCTGTTCATGCATGTTGGGTACCTTTTCTACTAGATCCATTAACGTATTAGCCATAGTTGTTTTAATGTTCCTGTCTGACAATCCCCACAGTGGGGTCATCTCTGACTCTTGCCTGTTGATGGCTGTATCTCTTGGCAATGGGTCGGGGGGTTTTTGTTTGTATGTCTCAAGATTTTTAAAACATGGAATGCCAGACATAGTGTGAAGAAGAATAGTAGAGATGGTGGTATCAATGATATTTATGCCTGGAAATTGGTGCACCTCTTCTCTGTCAGGCTATGAGTGTGGGAGCGTTGTTGAATCAGTCTGGTGGGTAATTGAGCTACATTTGAATTTTGTTGTTGCTACTCTTCCCCAGCGTCAGATCCCTCCAGCAGAAGATTGCCCAGGGCCCCCGGGCTTGAGTGGGTTTGCTATGGCTCCGCCCATGGCTTTGCTTCCCAGTAGAGGAGGGTCTGGAGAAGCGGGCGGTGTTTCACGTCCATCCCCCACCAGTGGCTTCACGTGGCCTCTTGGGAGCAGTGGCAAAGGCTGCAGAGGAGAGCTTGTGAGTGTGAGCGTTCCCTGTGCCCGTGACTCCCAGCTCTTCTAGCCTGAGCGCCAGCCCAGCTTGGCCTTTAGGAATTTGCTAACATCTCGGCTGATTTCTTCCCACCCTCGCACTTCCTCCTGAGCCCCACCAGGCATGAGAGCTGGAGCGTCGGGCTCTCCTTGGAGCCTCGGGGCTCCGTGGAGTTCAGTCCTCTTGGCTCCTGCAACCTCAACTGTCTCATGGGCTCAGGAAAAGTTCTGAGTTTGTAGGTATTTGGCTTTTTCTTGTTAGAATGGGAGTGGCGTTCGCCTGCCGCTTTCCACATCACAAGCAGAAGCGGAACCCGAAGTGGTGAATTTTTAAGTAGTTAGAAGGTAGTTGTCTGCTACTCTGCGTTTCCAGGGGACCTTTCAGCAGGCGTGCATTCTGCCCCGTGACCTGGAAACTTGCTGACATGCAATGAGCTTGCCTTTCAGTTCCTTCACAAACCACAGGAATTTTACCCGGGTCTCACGTCCAGCTCACAGGCCCATAAGTTTCCAGAGTCTACTTCTGTGGTACCCATTTCCAGTCTTCTGATGCCCCTCCTGTCCCCACAGCCCACACCAGCCGCCATCCTGGACTGCATCTCCAGGCTGCATCAGTGTCCTGGGCTGTAACCCATCAGGGCTGAAGAGCCACACGTGGGCCTCCACTTCCCCACCCTCCCAGGCCCGTCCTAGCAATGTGTATTCTGCCCGTTGAAGCCCCTTTAGTTAAAATAGGATAAGAATAGGGTTTGCGCGGTCCTACCTTGACCTCGCTTGCCTCACAGGCTTTCATTAGGAAGGTGGTGGGCGCCTGCCTCACCTGCCTGAGAACGAGCCCCTTTTGTTGTCCTTGGCCGTTCTGCAGGCGTCCTCATTTCCATGCTTCAGCTCTTCACTGCCTCCTGAAGCATTCATGCCCATCCTTTGTATCTGTCCTTAATCACATGACCTTCCTCCCACTTGCCTCCCAAGTCTTGCTAAGATGCGAGAGCATGAGAGCCCACCGGCAGCCCACCCTCCTTTAAGCCACATCTTTGTTCCTTAAGCCCTTCCTGAGAGTTGTGATGGGGACACGGTTTAGCCCTTGCCTCCAATCCCTCTTCATTTCTAGAGGGTCTTCCCATTGTCTGATCAGTCTTATCATGTGATACGGATCTTCAGCCGTTAAAAAAAAAAACAGGTATTGAGCACCTACTGTGTGCTAGCACCTTTGCAAGATGGTTGGCATCTAAAGATGAATCTCAGAGGATCCTTCGGGGAGTCTCTCAGCCAGGCCAGGTGTCACCTCATGGGTGGTTTCATCAGGATGCCGGAAGGGAGAGAAGAGGCTCCGGTCTGCCCGGTGGTTCTGGAAACCTTCCCTGGAGGAGACCGGTGCGGGGGTTACTGCCCTTGGTGATGATGCTGTGGCCTGTCTGAGCCCATGTGGGCACTTTCTCAGGGACCCTCACTTCCACTCCCCCGAGTAGTTTTCCCTCATTGATCAAAATTAAAGCAACATAAAACTACAGGTGTGATAAATGACACTGAACTATACACACACACATGAAGTTGTTACGTAAGATGTAACCTTGGAGGGAAGTTGGGTGGAGGGTCCCTGAGGACCTCTCTGTACCATTCTTGCAACTTCCTGCAAATCTATAATGATTTCGAAATAAAAAGCTAAAACACATCAAGAATGTTGTCCCAAACTAAGCCGTTTTCCCTTCTCAGGGCCTGGAATATTCTCCCTCTCTTCCTCACCCCTCAGTACTTCATTTCCAGAATTTCAAGTAGAGCCGGACATGGTCCCTTTTAATATGCATCTGGAAAACCCCAGTGGAGCCCACAAGCCAAGCCGGTTTCTGACCAAGTTCAGGCACAGGGTAGGAACATCCCTCCCATGGACTCAGGGGTGGAGAGGCAGCTGCACTGGGCCTCGGGGGCTGTGAAAAAGCAAATTAGAAGCAAATTACCATCTTCTCGGCCCCCTGAACAGCCCCCGAGTCATCAAGGGCGGCTCACTTGGCATTGAATCATTTTGCAACATCCCTGCCGGGCCGCGTGTGGCCCTGACCCAGCCCGTGACATCAGACGGCACCGACACAAAACCATAAACTTCTGCTGTTCTCCAGATGCCTCCCTTTTCATCTTGTGAGAAGACATTGTTTGCCCTGAGGGTGAGAAAAATTGCGGTGGCTGAGGGCTGCAGCACCTGTGCGTTGTTTGCAGGGCTCAGGGGGCCTTCGAGGAGCAGGAAGGAGCCTGGCTGGGCTCCCGGGAGCGGGAGCGAGGTGGGCTGTGGCTTGATTTGCATTTTCTCCTAAAACATTCTTCTGTCCTGCAGCTCAGTCTCTGTGACTACTCACAAGACTTAATGGCCTTAAAGTGCTCGCTAAGGGCCCAATTCAATTAAAAACTGTCCTGCAGAAGCCATGGATAATCCTCCCGCGTCTGCTTTCCCAGGAAGCCGCAGCCGGATGGGTGTTTTTCTTTTTTCAATTTTTCATTTGACGTGGGCCCTGGACCCTGCGGAGGAGAGTGCCTCTTTGCTGGCTTCTTCCCCACTTCTGAGGGTTTGCCACTAACCCTGGGAGGTGACCTCTGCTTCTTTGCCAGTTTGACAGGCTCTGGGACGAGATGCCCGTCGACACCAAGGGAAGGCTGCAATACCTGGACTTCCTGAGCAGCTTCAGCTCGGAGAAGGCGGCCCCACCGCCGGCCCCGGGCGACTCGGCCAAGGCGCAGAGAGGGTGCAGCGTCCCCAAGGTCTCAGAGAGAAGCAGGTCTGCAGGGTCATCGCCCACTCGAGACCTGAAAGCAGGGTCCAAACTGCGGAGTCACCCCTGCGTAAGTTCCTGTCTCGCAGCATCTAACTGGGTTCACGTCCCGCCGGGGCTGGGGTCCTAGTGTCCCCACAGGGTGTGGGTGACCGAGAAGGTGGCCAGGGTGAGCCTGGGGTGGGGGGCTCAGAGGAGAGCCACTGGTGGGTCCTCTCAGTCACCTGCCTGGGAGGGGAGGTAGCTGTGGGCACGGGGGTGTGGGAGGGAAGAGTAAAGAGGATTCAGAGCAGGAAGGGACCTTGGGGGCAGGGGCGGCATGTCAGCCACACGGAGGGCATCATCTCGGACGAACGCAGATGCCCCAGGGTGGACAGCCCCGCCGTGGGCCACAGGACCCGCAAGGTAAGTGTTGTCACACCCGTTTTACGGTTGAAGATACGAGGCCCTAAGAAGGGTCCTCGTGAGTTCAGGTCGCTTGTTAGACACAGAGAGAGCTGATTTCAAACCCAGGCCTGTCTGACCGCACGGCCCTGGACCTGGGCCGAGGCGCCCTGGCCTGGGATTGGGAGAGGGGCTCAGCCTCGCCGAGGCTCCCCTTCCTCTGCAAGAAGCTTGACGGTGTCTCTGGGGGAGGGCTGTTGAGGGGATGCCAGCGGGTACAGGAGCACACCCACCGCCGAGCCTCGTGCACGGTGAGCGCTCATTCATTCCTTGGGCCTTCAGTCAACACGTGTTTACCGACGCCTACTGCGTACGGAGAATGAACACAGGCCCCTGCCCTTGTGACGTTTACGGCCTTGGGGGCGACGGGCAAGAGCAGTGAACATGTAAGGAAAGTATTTAGTGAGTTAAAGATGGTGTGTGGAGCAGAACGAAGCATCCCGAAGGCGTCCACGCCTCAGTCCCCGGAACCTGTCATGTGTACCTTACATGGCGAGGGGCAATCAAGGTTGCAGGAGTTAAAGTTGCTCATCGGCTGACTGCAAGACACGATTGTCCCGGAGTGTCCGGGGGCCCGAGGTAATCACACCGGCCGGTCACTGGGGACACAGAGGCAGTAGGGTCACACCGGAGAGATGCAGTCTGGGGGAGACCCACCCGGCGTTGCAGCTTTGAAGGTGAGGGACGGGGCCACGGGTCAAGGAATGTGGAGGCCTCCAGAAGCCAGAAAGGGCCGGCTATATATTTGTTTCCAAACCTGTTTCTGTTAAAATGGTAACATTACCGTTTTTGTTTTGTTTTTCATTTTATTTCTGAAAAAATGCTGCCTGTGAAATTGTGCGCCTGAGTCCTATCTGTGAGTTTCTCTTATTACTTCCATGTGGAATCTCAGGTTACAAGACTGTTTTCTATCTTGCTAGACCCCCGCGAGCACGACCCCGCCCCTGCAGAACTGCGAGCCCATTGAGAATAAGCTGCGGAAGAAGATCCAGGGCTGCTGGCGCGAGTTCCTGCGAGAGTGCCAGGAGAGGGACGCCAACAAGCAGGGCGAGATCCCCGCCACCGAGTTCCAGGGTGCGTCCTGTTCCCTTTCCCCCTGGGGATACAGGGTCACCTCCCAGCACAAGTCCACTCCTCATGGCGGCGGCAGGGGAGTGACACAACAGGGGCCCGGCGGGGAGCACCTCGATAAACCCCCAGTATGGGGGACAAGGACTCCTAACGCCTCAGCCCCTACTAGGCAGGTCCACACCTTCCTGATCAGGTCAGCACGCGAAACCACGGGCTGGGTTGTGGTCTCTGGGCAGGTTGTAAATGGTGACAGACTTGGAGAGCTGAGGGAGGTGGGACATGGGCGGGGCGCAGGGGACCGCTGGGGACCCAGCTCTGCCCTGTTGATTCGATTTTCGCCGTGTAGCACTTGGGTAGTCTTCAAATAAGACCAGTTAGACGTACACTCCCACTAATTGTTGCATACTGTTTACACAACCTTTCACATTACAGGAAAACCTGACCAGGTCACTCCTCTGCTTAAAAGCCCCCTCAGCCCATCCCCCACTCCCGCCGTCTTTAATATATGGACCCCTTTTAAAGGAAAGCGTTTTTCCTGAGAACCTTCTATATCAACATAAACTACTTTTATGGTGTAAACTCTTTAAGTGAACAGCTCCTACCCCGCCCCCCCCAAAACAAACACTTATGAGTTAAATATAAAAGTTTGAAATCAGTTATAATTAAACGATGTGACATGGATTTGATGTGACATGTCTCGCTGAAACGAAATCACCAGTGTGGGTTTTAATGCACGTCGGCGTCCCACTTGTTTCTTAGTTAATTCTTTTGCTTTTGAGCATGAGGAGCCCTAACTTGCGGTTCTTCATCACCATCACCATCGTCACTGTTTCCTTTTTAACCGTGAACTCCGGAAGCGCCCCATCCACGGCTCTGACAGTGCATCCAAAGTTCAGTGCTCTGAAAACAAAACACTGATTAATTTTCAGAAGTCGTCCTGTATTTTCTGTACGTGCTGGATGGCCTTCTGCAAGTTGGAACCTCCAAGGCATCTAGTGGCCATTCCCTTGGGTCCCCCCGCCCATGTCCTGGGTGCACCGTGCCCTCCTACTGCTTTCCTCTGTGCAAAGGCAAAGAAACCTGTTTGCACAAGCGCAGCAGCGTCTTCTGGGCTGCGCTGGTTTGAAGACATCATGTCTATAAACTCCACATCCACTGGTTTTCCTCACTAACCTCTACAGTTAACGTAGCACAGTGTTCCACTCCCAGAAACTTTGTTGCCTTCGTGATGTCCAGTGGAAGTCTCAGCTCATTCACCTTAAACTGAAATCCTTATCCTACCTCTCTTCCAATTACGCGTTGTGACTCCAAAAGAAGCTTCGGCTGTATACCTAGTAAAAGACTGAGCACGTGTATTAGTGCAAAGTAAGGGGGTGTTGACATCCTGACATTGCCACCTCAGGGCAGCCAGGAGGACTCCCCAGTGTGGCATCGACGTGACCCTAGTCAGAAAGCCAGACACAAACCCTCAAATCGCGTGGCGGTTGTCTCTTCCGGGAGGTCCATGTGTTCCAGAATACACATTTTAGATCATTAAGGTGAAAACTCAAAATACATAAATTGGTGTAGTCTGGAAGACCCTTGAGAGCATATCTCGGAAGCACAGTTGGAAAATGCTTGCTCGGGGGCCAAGTCTGAATCCCTGACCCCCAGTCGGGCCCCTGCCGGACTCAACCCCAGCACATGCAACCTTCCCTTCTCCCCTCCTGCCCGGCTCTGCCCCGACTCCCGTCTGCTGGGACCATCCCTCTGCCTTCTCCCCGCCTGCGTTCGTAAGCCCCACGGTGTCGTGTCCGTACTGCTGTGACCACAGCGACAGTGACCGTGCAAAGCCAGGCCGGCAGGCAAAGCCTGGACCGAGGGGGCCCAGCAGGACGCGGGTCCCCTCCCTCCTTGCCGCACTTACCTCGTCGCGTGCCTGTGTGTTTCCATATCTGTCCAGCCACCAACCAAGAGCCCGTGAAGCAAGCACAGGGCGTCTCAGCCAGTGATGAGTGAGTGAATGAAGGCGTGATCAAACGAATGAGTGAACCGACCGCCACCAACTGAACTGACATGTTTGCCTTTAGCTCTCGTGGAGAAATTCAACCTGGACGTAAACAGAGATGAGTGCCGGCAGCTCATCGTCAAGTACGACTTAAAGAACAACGGGAGGTTTGCTTATTGTCACTTCATTCAGAGCTACGTCCTCCTGTTAAACGCAAAGGAAGCCTCGCTGATGCAGAGAATGAAACTCCAGAACGCGAATAAAATGGTGCGTGAATCGTCCAGAGGAAAGGCGTGGGGCTGGGGCTGAACGGGCTTCTTTCATTTTTCTCAGTTCCGCCTAAATCCCATTGTCTCACTTCATACAAACGGTGGCCCCATAAGGGCCTGGAGACCCCAGACTGGGAACCAGCAGCCTGGATCCCAGGTTCTCAAACTGGCTGGGCGGCACATGCCCGTGGGCACCTCTGTGCGGCGAGCGTCGGGGAGAGTGTCAGCGGCTTACACGGCCACCAGGAGCGGGGGGTCTCGGTCAGTTCACTGGAGAGGCAAGTGGGGTGGGACCACAGCAAAGGGAAGCGCCTGTAACTTACACTTAACCGCCGGTTCACTCCTCAACTGTCTGAGACGGGCTGGCCTTGCTCCTGGTATGGGCGGCCAGTCGGAGACCCTTTCTCTTTCTTGCGTAAACTACACCCGTGATGCATTGTCTACAGTTCTTTTCTTGTTTCCTTGAAGAGGAATGATACCCTAAAGATGCTTAAATGGCAACTGGAAGGCCTGTGCCCTAGATTTTTACCTTTTTTCTTAATCGTTTGTCATTTTATGATTCTCACCCACACCCACTTCAACCACGCTGTTCACGGACTCACCTTTCTCGAGTCTCTCCACAGCATGAAGTAGAACAAGCCTCTTTCACACTCATATTCCATCATCTATAACGCTGAATTCAGTTACATTGAATTAAACAAGTACAACCGGCCTTGTCGACCTGGGAGCAAACACAGCTGATACCAGCTGCCGTAGGACTCAGCTGCGGGGACCAGAGGTGTGGGGCAGACCTGACAGCATAGGTGGCGGCTTAAGACTGCTGGCGGCTTAGCCCAGCAAACAGTGGATTCCATAGCAGAACTTTCCATGCAGCCGAATTTGTCATTCTGTGCTAAATCGGGCCCCATCTTAGCATAGTTTCTAGTTTAGCCAAGCAAAGGCTTAGGCCAAGTTAAGGAAGTAAAACTTAACCTTAAGACAATTCTTCCTCTAGCTCAGCTTTTCTGTGAATGGAGAAAACACTGTTCTTGGTGGGTCGTCAGGGGACACAGGAACATAGCTGGAGAACCATGGAGACCGCACAGCCTTCAAGGCCCCCCCAGCTCTGGCCCTCCTCCACCTCTTCTGGCCTCAGCTCCCCCTTCTGTAAATGAGGGGAGGCGTGCTGAGGCCCTGGGCAGATGTCCCAGCTCGCCTCCGTGTGCCGCTGCCTCGCCCCCCAGCTCCGGTCTTTCACCCAGCCGTGACCACAGCCTCCGCTCTGTGGCTTAGGCTAGTCCTGTCTTGCATCCTGGGCATGACTGACAAGGTGGTGAGACTCCCCGGAGCCTTTCCCAGGAGAGAGTGTGGCCTGCCCCTGCCCCTGCCCCTGCCTGGTCCCCGTGCCAGTCCCCGTCCCCTCTGCAGGCTGTCCAGGCCCCACCATGCCAACTGTCTGCCGGCAGAGGAGCTGAAAGGGCCATTGCCTTTTCTAGTGCTTTGGGGGCTTTCTACAACTTTGACAGCAGAGACACCCTCTGTGGAAGTGAGCTGGGGCTTTGCTTTTGGGGGCTCTTCTAGAGGACTTCTGGATGGGTTGGTGTACAGGGCTGGGATGGGAAACCCTTTCTCAGGCCAAGCTTGGGTGTGGGAAGGGCAAGTGCGCATACGATCCCTTCTCTTCCGTGCATGCCGACCAGCTGATTGGATAAATTGGCAGCTAACGAAGCTATAGGGTATCTGGTTTCTATCATAGGTGCTAAATGATACAAAAATTGAAAGCAATTTAACTTTGTGCTAATTTGTTTCATGTAGTGCCATGTTAAAAATCAAACTTTCCCAGGGCTTCCCTGGTGGCGCAGTGGTTGAGAGTCTGCCTGCCGATGCAGGGGACACAGGTTCGTGCCCCAGTCCGGGAGAATCCCACATGCCGTGGAGCGGCTGGGCCGGTGAGCCATGGCCGCTGAGCCTGCGTGTCCGGAGCCTGTGCTCTGCAACGGGAGAGGCCACAACAGTGAGAGGCCTGTATGCGGCAAAAAAAAAAAAAAAACTAAACTTCCCCCAAATGTGTTACACATGACTGCCTAAAGTCCACCTCTGTGATATTCAGATGTGCTTTGGGGCTAAAACGTGCTAAAATATCTTGTTTCCAATCTAATAAATAGCATCTAAATGAAATAATAGTGTAGTGTACTGTCTAATTACTAGATATAATTACAACCTTGTGATTTTTTTAAAAAACTCTGTTCATTATAAGAACGCACTAGAAGACCCCAGCTGAATCTCTTTTTTTCCCTCAGACTGTTTTGAAATTGGCCGGTTATCTGCCTGTCTCTCCCCTCAAGTACATGGGGAGGGGCTCCCTGGGAGGCAGCCTGGCAGGTGTTGGTGTCAAGCGGAGATTCCCTGAGCCTCCATTTCCCAATCCAGGAAATGGGGATGTGGAGACCTACCTTCCTCCCAGGGTGGGGGAGGAGGGGAAAGAGGTGCACAGGCGATACTGTTTGTGATCAGCCCACACATAGACTTGCAATGCGCGCTTGCTGACTCCATCCTAGCTGGGAGCGTGGGGTGGGGAGTGAGCAGGGGGCCAAGACGACAGGAGCTGGCAGCCCTCCTCCCTCCCTTCGGGCCATGGCCTGTCTGCTCCATCCTTCCCATCCGAAAGCTCCTTTCTTACCTCCTCTTGGTTTTTGGTTCTTTTCCCAGAAAGAAGGCGGTGCTGAGACTTCTTCCTTTTACTCCGCTCTGCTGCGGATTCAACCCCAAATTGTGCACTGCTGGAGGCCGATGCTGCGCACACTCAAGGCCTACGACGAGGGAAGGACGGGGCTTTTAAGCGTGGCTGATTTCAGGAAGGTGAGCACGGCTCTTGTGCGGCTGTGACCTCTGACCAGGAAGCAGTTGCCAAAGGCCCGTGGCCAGAAAACCTCCAGAAAGGATCCGCCAAGCCGCAGCGGAAGGCCCGGGTGTGGGCAGCTGTCCCAGACCTCACTTCCCCGGTTCCCCCAGGTTGTCAAGGGCCGAGTGCACGTGTCCCTGTGCTGCAGACCCCAGGCTCTCCTCCCTGAAGGTTTCTAGAACCCTGCAGGGACGTCCCGGTGCCAACACCTGAGTGCCGCTGCCCTTGGGGCAGCACGACAGCTGCTGCGTCTCCGCGGAGCCCTGGCTGCACTCCACCCCGCGCCAGGCCAGGCCTCCTCCCCAGCCCCCGTCCCAGGTCTTTATGGGGGGAGCCGGCAGGGTCACAGAGCAGAATGACAGCATCGGGGGGCCGAGGCGGGGTCCCAGGTGTGCGATTCAGGGCCCACAGACCCCAGCCCTGCCTCGCAGGAGCCCCAGGGTCGGCCCTCCCCTCTCCCTCAGCTGCCCTCACGTGGAGGGGCTGCCCACCGCACACCACACGGTTTGGTAAGCAGCTCTCCCGACAGAGCCTGAACCCTGGTGCCTTTCCTGCCCCGCGCAAGTCCAGCATCCACGGAGGAAGGTGGTCTGGAGGGAGCGCCTCACCCGCCGCAGCCGCCCCTCTGGAGCAGAACCTCTTCGCTTGAGTTTACCCTGCAGAACCTTGGGAGCGCTTCTCCCAGAGGAAAGAAGCAGCCGCCCTCGAGGGTGACTTAAAACTCCCACGTTCAGAATAACGTAGAACTCCTCGGGTTGGCAGTTTCTTGACCCCCCTCTCCTCTTCTCTCTGCATCCCCACCCCGGCCACTGAGGTTCAGAAAATCATTGAGGTCTAGAACATTAGATTAAAAATCAAATATTACAGCCAGGAAGAAAACTCAGTCAAGACATCACAGAGACAAGGGGTTATGGCCTCAAAATGCACTTACAAAAAATGTATTCCTTAGACTTATCTGTGCTCAACAGCTAGAAAAAAGTTTTTTAAGTAAAAAAGCTTTTCTTAAATAATAATGCAGGAAGATGAACCGCAGTTGGAGGGCCTGGTGGGGCTGCATTCTCAAGGGCCTCGTGCAAGGCACTGGAGGGCGAGGGGCCCCCTAGAGCCCCAGTGCCGCGCATGGTGGGCGGCGGCCAGGCCTGTCGCTGGGCCGGGGCCTCCGTGCCCCACAGTGGCAGCCAGCTCACAGCGTTTGTCTTTACTTTGGGGGCAAGTAAAATTCTCAGGCAGAGAAGGGAAGGAAGCGGGTGAGCTTCTGTTAGTCTCCTCGTCTTCAGGTAACTTCCCAGGAATTCGGGGTGGGTGACAGCAGGGAGAGGGCAATAGAAACGGAGACGTTGCCCTCAGCAGAGCCAGAGCCCGAGACCAGATGGGTGCTGGGACCCTCTGGACACCCAGGCTCAGTCGCCTTTTCTGCTCTCAGCCCATCAGCCCCATAGCCAGGCCAGCTGACCTCAGCCCCATTGTCCCGGGCCTGTCCTGCCGGCCCCAGAGGAACGTCAGGCTCTTCTAGCCCCACTTTCTAGCCCCCTCTGAGAAACAAATTATAACACAAAACATAGATGGGGAATGTATAACCTAATCTTTATCTAATAGGGTATCTATCTATTAAAATTTGTCTCAGTTGCACATAACAGAGGTGAAAAAAAAAAATAACATCACCTTAAACATGGTAGAAGTTTATTTCTCTCTCACATAAAAGAATCTCAGAGGTAGGAAGTCCAGAGCTGGTGTGGTGGCTGGACAGTCATCGGGGACATCTGTATTTTTTTCTGCTCTCCTCAACACCTGACTTCCTGCCTCAAGGTCGCCTCATGGTCCAAGATGGCTGCTAAAGCCCCAGCATCACTTTCACATTCCAGGCAGCAGAAGAGAGAGAAAGAGGGCGTGCCCTTCTTCTTTAGAGACTTCTCAGAAGTCCCGCATAACATTCTCAGTTAGTTTTAACTGGCCAGAACATACCTAGCTATAAGAGAAGCTAAGAAATGTCGCCTTTTTTAGGTGGATCCCAGCAGCCTGAAAACCAGGGTTCTGATAACAGAAGGGGAAAGGGCAATCGGTATTGGTTAGCAGTAGCAGGCTCTGCCATGGGCTGTATTGCTGTTGGGTCATAACGACTCCCTGCACCCTGCACCTGCGGGCCTGCCCTCCTCCCCGGGTGGGCCGCACCCCGAGGCCCCCCTAGCTAAGGCCCTGTGGCCAGGTCTCCCCTCCAGTCCCCTCCTCTCCGTCCATCCTCCTCATCCTCCACGTTGACCAGCCTCACTACCCTTCGGGGAGGCGTTTGTGGGAGGGCCAGCTAGGGGTAAGGAACCCCAGCAGCTCCCATCTGAAGGGAAGTCCAGGGGTCTTCGTGTCCCGCACCCGTGTTGCTGGACGGAGCTGCCCTGTTGGAGGGGGACGGGGGGTGGGCAAAGATGAGGGGTGGGGAGAAGGGAAGCGGGAGAGAGAGCTGCTGGGGGCAACTCTGGAGGTGGGCGGTCCAGGCTCGGGGCGGGAGGAGAGGTGGGTGCATGCCTCCTTGAGTGGCTCCGAGACCAGCGGGGGATCCCCATCTCTTCTGCAGGTCCTGAGGCAGTACAGCGTCAACCTCTCTGAGGAGGAGTTCTTCCACATCCTGGAGTATTATGACAAGACGCTGTCTTCAAAAATCTCCTACAACAACTTCCTCCAGGCCTTCCTTCAGTAGGGGGCCAGCTCTGCGAGCCCAGCATGGACAGACGGGGAGTGCAGGGCCTGTCCCCGAGACTAGTAAAATCTATCATCGGGGTGTCTCACGAACTTCCAGAGTGTCCCCAAAACAGAGCCCACACCCATGCCCGGCCTGCGTCTTTCCGAGGTCATCCCAGGCCCAGCGCTGGGCTCCAGCATCAGCAGTGGCCTTCCAGAGGGCCTCGGGGCTGCCCCGCTGAGCCTCGGGACCCTCGTTAGTTTGAGCAAATTAAAATGTTAGTCTTTGCAAGAATGATGCTTGAGGCTTTAAAAGAACCACCAACGATAAACTTCAAAACTCAGAATTTCTGAAGGTTTTATTCATAAGAGCTTGCTGGGTGCCCCAGGGACGCCACAGCACTTCCTCCACCTGGGTCGCATCTGTGCCCCTGCTGGGCTTGTCCACAGGGCCGCCTCTCTGCCCATGGGGACACAGGCACCAGCCTGACGTCACGGAGGAGCGGCCGGCATCTAAGTCAGGACCCATGTGTTCTTTGGGGGCTCAGCCTTTCCGGGGCCCGGCTGAGCTGACAGCTGATTGGAGCCACCCACCAGCGCCCATTTCGGGGGGGGACTCTTGCTTGGACACGACAGGGCGTGACAAGCTGAGAGAAGTTTTAAATTGCCGCAGTCCTTTCCACCCATTATGAAGAAGATGGAAGGGAGACAGTTTGCTGCCTCCTGGAAAGTTCTGGAAGGAACAGAAGAGGCAGGCAAGAGAGCTGCCCCTGAACTGTGTGACCCCGGGCTGTCAGGGAGGGGTGGGGGCAAGGAGCCTCCACTGTCACCCTGAGCAACACACAAGCAACACACGGCCAGCGGACCTCACGTCCCTCAGGGACGCCCGGCCGGGGCTGGCCCGCCGCGGCCCCAGCCACTGGAGGGCGGGTTCCCCAGGGCCTGGGCAGCGGCCTTGGCTTCTCCTCCCCTTTCCTGTCCTCACTGCCATGGCCACGCCTCCTCCTTTCCCTGCTCCCACGGGACACAGACATGCTGTTGACCAGGGAAGGAGTCAAATGTTCAACCAGAGACCACGGGAGCTCTTAGGAAGCCAGACCAGAGCTGACCTCCTGTGAGCCCTGCTGGCTGCACAGCCACTCCAGCGGGCCGGGTGGGGTCTCCGTCCCCAGTGGAGAGATGGAGACCCTGAGGCCCAGGTGGAGGAGGGAAGGACGCCCTCTGCGGTGCCTGAGGAGTGAGGACATGGCTCCTTGCTTCCTGCCCCCCAGCCAGGCACCCCGCAGCCCGGCAGGGGGCATCGGGGACCAGGCTGAGGAGGTCTGGCTGGGCCAGGACTGCGGAGGCCCCCAGATCCCAGAGGACCTGGGGGCCCTGGAGGAGGCTCAGAGGATGAAGATGCCCACTGCGGGGGGCGGGGGGTGGGTGTGTGTGAAGGGGGAGGGGTTGCCCTGAGGGCAGCCTGAGTTCAGGGAGGAGGGAAGGAGGGGCCGTGGTCCCTGTTGGCCCCAAGTCGGTGCTGTGGAACAGGAAAGCCCTCAGCCCCAGCAGCTCTTCTTTCTAAGGGGCGGGGATGGGAGGATGCCCTGCCCTTGTGCCCCTGCCCCAGCATTCGGGGCCCCACCTGTGTGCCCAGCCCCCACCCCGTGTGCCTGGCTTCAACCTTCTTGAGATGCCGCTCACACTGTGCACCTGCTCCTCAGGGAATGCTAACTTGTCCTTCAAAACTCAGTGCAGGGCTTCCCTGGTGGCGCAGTGGTTGAGAATCTGCCTGCCAATGCAGGGGACATGGGTTTGAGCCCTGGTCTGGGAAGATCCCACATGCCGCGGAGCAACTGGGCCCATGAGCCACAACTACTGAGCCTGCGCGTCTGGAGCTTGTGCTCTGCAACAAAAGAGGCCGCGATAGTGAGAGGCCCGCACACCGTGATGAAGAGTGGCCCCCGCTTGCCACAACTAGAGAAAGCCCTCGCACAGAAACGAATAACCAGCACAGCAAAAATAAATAAATTAATTAATTTTTAAAAAACCAAAAACTCAGTGCAGAGCTGCCTCTTACAGGAAGCCTTCCTGACTTCCCCAGGCTGAGCTGCGCATTTCGTCTGATGCTGTTCAGCAGCCTGTGGGTCTGTCGTTGAGGGACTTAGGGGGGGCCTCCAAGTCAAGAAGGGGCTCAAGAGGCAAGTGGCTCATCCTGACACAGAAGCAGGACTCAGTGGGGTCACAACTGGCCACCAGCCCTCCTGAAACATTCTCAGAGTAGTTTTGGTGTCAGTGAGATGGGGTTCCAGTTCCAGCTCTACCATGACACTCAGCCAAGTCATTTCACCCCTCTGAGTCTCACTTTCTACATCTGTAAAATGGGCAATCACAACACCCTCTCAGAGGACATTGTGAGGACCACATGTGGAAAGAGTTTGGCTCTGCAGTGGGGTTTTCTCTCGGAGTTAGCAGAGCTTCCGAGCTGAGGGTTGCAGGCGAGTGGGCTGTTAGCCACCCTCTCCCTTAACCCCAGAAGAGGTGGGGCAACTGCTTTCCCAATGCCTGGCCCTTTCAAGCTTGAGTCAAGAGAGCAGGGCTGGACTGAGGATTAGGGTGTCCAGCTGCCCCCTGTTCATCCCCTGGCCCCTGTGCAACTTCCCTCTCTGGCTGAGCCTCCATTTCCACATCTGCAAAATGAAGATAACCCCGCTTCCCTCGGGCTCATCCACCAGTCGGTCTGTGCCCAGCCCCACGAGTCAAACACAAACCTGTCTCCTAGAACCCCCAACAAGGTAGGTCAGAGACAATCAAAAGAGAGGAGGTCAGGGCTGGTGGGGGAGCCCTAGGTATGGGAAGCCGAAGAGCCCTGGCCCTACACTTAGAGCTGGACTTCGGGACAGAATTTCAGCAAGGGGTTGAGGGAGGGTTTCAGCTGAGTGCCCTCAGAGTCAATGCTGGGAGGCCAAGAGGGCTGGGCCATTTCCCAAAGGCAGTACCGTGCTCCCAGCCGGGACCACCCATCCCCTCCCTCTCCTCTTTCCTGGGTCCTTGTATCCTGATCAGGTGTCTTCAGGTGGGCACCCTTCCCAGAGCCAGGCCCAGCTGGGAGCAACAGCCCTTCTGGATCCTACTGTGTTGAAAGAACTGAGTGCCCATTTTTCCACCCCAGTAGAACTCATATTAAAGCAAATGGCCCTATTTGTCTCCCCGTCATGTATCCATGTCCCTTGCTTTTGACCTTGAAGTTCCTATTGCTAACTAATGTCTATTTCCCCAGTCCTTGAATCCACACTCAGCCACGTGACTTGTTTTGGACAATGAGCTACTAGCAAGCATGACACAACAGAGGTTTGAGAAGCACCTGTGGTTTTGGGCTTTGAGATGCAGAGAGCTGGAAAGAGCGTCACTCCCACGTGTTTGAGAAGAGAAAAGCTGGACAAAATGCAAGTTAACAGCTTTTCTTAAACCCACCTGAGAATGGAGCTCAGTGCAAACAGTTCACTAAAGTCTAGAGATAGACAGGTGCCTGCAGGGAAAAACAAGACCCAAGCATTTGCTTACCTGGGATAGACATTACAGAATACCATATAAGCCAGTAAGAGGATTCAGCTGGACATTTTTAACAGATTGCTCAAAACCAAATGTGGGCTAGCCTGAGAATGTGAAGGCTCTGGGGGCTCTGACACAGAGGAGTTTGCATCCTCCGGGAACCTCACCAGGTGCTCACAGAGATCAGGGAGGATCCAGAGGAAGCTTCCTCTGTCCCTGTCCCCGCAGCGGTGTGGCCGGAAGAGGGTACCAGCAGCCACTGCTGAAACTCTGCCAGAACCCATCTCCCCATCCCTCGAAGGGAACAGAAAGCTCCATATACAGAGAAAAGGACAGCAAAACCACAGCCTGAGGGCACCGGTCAGAACCCAGTGCAGCCAACGGGGCAGAACAAGCTCTACTCCTGGAGGTGGAGGGGGGCAGAAATATATGCTAAGCCCTGTATTACATCTGCAGGAGGGGCAGAGCACTCATGAAGGCTCACAGTATGCAAGGCCAAATCAGAACCTCAGAGAAGACCCCACCGCATCCTCTACCATCACACCAACAATCATCAAATAAAATGAAAGGTGAAACAGCTAGGAGAGCCACAGGAGCCCATCACTCCAGGGAGCAGCACAAAGGAAGACCCAAAGGCAAGCTGCGAGCAAAATTCAACGGAGCCCAACTCCTGACAAGATCAACCCAAGCCCCACACTAAAGTCCTAACAGAAAGAAAGACATATTCTTCTCCAAGTGTAAAAAATACTTACCTCAGCATCTACCATTCTATTGTATCAGAGGTTAGCAAATCACAACCAGTGGGCCAAATAGGGCCTGTGGCTTATTTTCATACAGTCTATGAGCTAAGAATGATTTTCACATTTTTAAAAGGTTGGAGGAGGAGAAAGAGAACAAGAGCAAGAAGGACAAGAATTGACAGACTGTATGTAGCCCACAAAGCCTAAAATATTTTCCGTCTGACTTTCTACAGAAAAAGTTTGCTGACCTCTGCTATACAAATGTCCAGCTTTCAATAAAAAATTATGAGGCATACCAAATGGCAATTAAAAGAAAAAAAATAAACAATGAAGAGACAAAGCAGTCATCAGAATGAGACTCAGGGGCTTCCCTGGTGGCGCAGTGGTTGAGAGTCCGCCTGCCGACGCAGGGGACACGGGTTCGTGCCCCGGTCCAGGAGGATCCCACATGCCGCGGAGCGGCTGGGCCCGTGAGCCATGGCCGCTGGGCCTGCGCGTCCGGAGCCTGTGCTCCGCAACGGGAGAGGCCACAACAGTGAGAGGCCGTGTACCGCAAAAAAAAAAAAAAGAAAAAGAAAAAGAAAAGAATGAGACTCAGATTTGGCACAGATTTTAAACTATCAGAAAAGAAATTTAAAATAATCAATTTGTATGTTAAAGCTCTAGCGGAAAAAGTAGACAACACATATAATCAGACAGGAAGTTTCAGCAGAGAGGTGGAAACTGTAAGAATCAAATTGAAATCTTA